AACGTGAAATGGGCAGGTGGGTATGGGGATCATGGGTGGAAGGGGGAAGGGGAAGGGCTAGGCCGCCATGGGAGAGGAAGATTTGTAGAGGAAACGATGAAAAAAGATAAGACGACAGGAAAAAGGGAATCGTGTAAAACGGAGAGGGAGATGGTGGCAGAGAATGGCGACGCGCGCCGGAGAGAGATTTGGATCCAAAAGGGTTTACGTAAGAGAAACAAAAATCAAAGATTTGGTTTGCATTTTGCAATTTGCAATTGCATGGAATGGAATTATTCTCTTAATCTCAATGTGAAAGTTCTTCAAACAAAATGGGTCAACAAAAGGAGCTAATCAAATTGCAAAGAGTAGTTAGATTTATTTGCGGCGGTTAGCAGGAAGATACGTGTCGATGAATAAGCACCTAAATATTGTTTAATTTCATGGAAATGTTGATTAAAATATAGATAAATATGGATGTCCAATATTTCTAAAAAAATACAGACTGTTGAGTTAGTTCAAGTTGACAATTTTTTAAAAAGAGGTCTAACTTTTAACTATAGCCTCAGTGAAAAAAAAAATTACAGGCATGACTATGCCGTATGAAAGGTAAAACCTCCATTGGATTTTGGAGTTTTCACCAGAGGCTATTTGTTTGGTGGGAATCGATTCCCATGAGATGTACATCCAAATTCCCATAGTTTTAAAGATTCCCATGTTGAGCGCATGTTCTTTTGACAATTTTGTTTCTCGTCATTTTTGTTCTATAATATTTTTACATAATAATATGTATTTCTCATTTATTTTATTTTATTTGAAAAATAAATGTATGTACTAGTTCTAAGGGTCTGAATACAATTTTATTTATATGGTACATTTAGATATAAAATAAACATTAGTCAATGGTATAATATCTTAATTTATTTTTAATTTAAATCTAGCGTGTAATCTTTTATTTATTTTACTCTTCCAATAGTCACCAAACATAAACTACAATTGACCTAAAAACATAATATTAAATTAATAAAAATAAAATTTTTATATGAATTAAAATTAGAGAGTTGGAGAGCTAAAAAGAGAAAAATCTATAAAAGTGGAGATGAAAACGGAATGGGGCCTGAGTTGGGATGCCCTCCCTACCTCGTCCTTGTTAAAATTTTTAGCTCTCGTCTCCACCCCATTCTTCGATTTCGGGAATCGAGGTCCGAGTCGAGGAATCCTTGTTTCGGGACAAATTAAAGATCTTTGGGAGGAACATTACCAATTTAGTAATTAATTTTAACTATTTTTAGAATTTAAAAATAAAAAGAATAATAAATATATATAACTTATATCTATTTACTGGAAATTTTATTTTGTTTATTTTTTAGTAGTAAATTATTATTTACTAGTATAAATAATTAGTTTTAAAAAATATTTAATATATATTTTCATAATTTAGTAAAATAGTTAATAAAACTTATTATTTAAAAATGGAATCAGGGAAGAAGTCGGGGCATGAGAAATACATTCCCTATTTTTAGAGCTAAGTAACCAATCTTGCAAGAAATTTTGTAATCCCTGATGTATAGACATGAAAAATAAAATTTAGAGAGATAAAAAAAATTATTTAAAGAGAAATTTAATAGAATAAATTTAGAAAGATAAATAAAACGATTTAGAAAAAAAAAAGTTAGAGAAAGAATTTACCGAGAGAAAAGTTAAATAGAAAAATTTTAGAGAAATAGAGTAAAGTTGAGAGCAAAACAAATGAAAGAGAAATTATAATGAGAAAAACTTTAAAAAAGAAATCGGAAAAATAAATAAATGAAAGAGATAAAAATTATAGCGAAAGAAAGTTGAAAGAGAAAGATTAGATAAAAAAAAAGGTTTCAGATAAATTTACTACTTAAAATTAGATTAGAAAAAGAAAGCAAATATAAAAAGGTAAAATTTTGCGGGGAGAAATAATAGTAAATATTCTAGACATGAAAATTTGAGAATGAGAAAGATAAATTTTGTAAAAATAAATTAAGCACAAAAATATTTGAGGAAAAAAGATTATTAGAGAGAAATATATCAAATAAGAAGGAGAATGAGATTTTGAAAAATAAAAATCTATTTTAAAAACTATTTCTTTTTATAGAAATTTTAAAAACAGCCCAAATAAAATGTTTTTATTTTCTTGTTCACATTTTTAATTGGTTTCAAAACATAAATAAATATTGTTTTATCATATTTGAATTCAATGATGTTGAGACCATACAATTCATTTTTTTTTATTAGTAATGAGAAAATAAAAATAAGAAACAAAAATGCTACTAAATAGGCTTGAAATAGTTATGAAACGATCCGAAGTTTAATCTTAAAGGAACAAGAAAACAAAGATGAAAACAATACTCCTTTATCATATTTTTCAAACATTTCCAATATTGTTGGCGGAAGCGATGTGACTTGGACAAACTCCAATTACATAAAAGGTTAAATTTGAATCTTTGGATTTTAGAATGATACAAGGTATGGGCTCAGTGATGAAATGGACCATTCAAAAACAGAAAAAGGAAAAAAGGAATTTTAGTAACAATTTAATCCTCCAATTTTAGCATATAACAATTTAATTTGCATAATTTTGAAATTTGAAAGAGTTTAGTTCTATTATGAAATGACCTTACAAAAATTAAGTTTCAATTTTTATTATATAATAATTTAATATTTGTAATTTAATAAACACATTTGATTCTTCATCCATTTATGAGAAATCCTATTAAATCTTTACAACTACATCATAACAAATTTTAACTATAATATGACTAAATTGTAACATATTAAAGTTCTGGAGCTAAATTGTTACCAATTTAAAGATACAATAACTAAATTGTTACGTACTAAAATTCAGAAATCAAATCGTTACTTTAATGATAGATCAGAGATCACAAGTATTTTTTAACCAAAATAAAATGAATAATGATCTACTAAAAGTTTAATAAATAAAAAAAAAGAATTAAATTACTAGTTTAACCTTTAGGGTGATACATTCATAAACTTTAAAATCTATCTAATAGAATCCCTGAACTTTCACTAATTGTATCACATTGGTCATTAAGGATTCGTTTGATAATTGTTGGATAAGCAATTCAATTTTAACCATTTTGATGTAAATTAAAAAAAAAAAAAAGTAGTCCTATTTTTCAAAATCTGATTTTTTTCACTAATACTCAACTTTTTTTTTTCTTTATCATATTTATCTCTAAAAAATTTATTTCCCACTCTAAAAATTTTTTTATTTCTAAATTTCTCTCTACAAATTTTATTTTTCTCTCTTTAAAATTTTCATATTTTGAATATTTATTACTATTTGCCTTTCTCCAATTTTTCTGTATTTTTATTATTTTTTTTCTAACAAACCAGTTTCAAATTTTATTTTTCTCTCTTTAAAATTTTCATATTTTGAATATTTATTACTATTTGCCTCTCTCCAATTTTTCTGTATTTTTATTATTTTTTTTCTAACAAACTAGTTTCATTTCGCTCTCTAAAAATTTAATATTTTTCCTCATTTTTTCCTCTATAAAATTTCATCTTTTATAACTTTTCTTTATCTTCGTAATCTAATTTTTACTCTGAAAATTATATCTTATTTTCTCGTTCAATTTTCTTTCACTCTGTAACTTTTATTTATCTCTATATTTATTTATCTTCTCTAAAAGTTATATTTTGAATATTGTTTTTATCTTTCCGGCTATAATTTTTCTCTTTCTTTATAATTTCTTTTTTTTCTTTAACATATCTTTTCCTCTCAACTTTATTTTTTTTCTCTAAAATTTTTCTCTTTTCATCTTTACTTTTCTTTCATTATTTTTTTTCTAAATCTTTTTATTTCTCTCTAAAATTTATCTTCAAAAAGTTTATTTACATATCTAAACTTGTATTTTCATGTCTCTATATCAGGGGATGACAAAAATTTCCACAGGATCAAGTCCCAAAAATAGGAAATGCATGTCCCGACTTTGTCCTCATCCTCGATTCTATTTTTTAAATAATTAATATATATTTATTACACTTTTTATAAACTTAAATTCTAAAAATAATTAAAAACAATTATAAAATCGATAATTTTTCTCGAGAACATCTCTCAGACTGAAGAACGAAGTAGAGACGGGGACTAAAAATTTTCACGAGCACGAGAATGAGGGATAGCATCCTCACTCGCATCCACACCATTGTCATCTTTGTTCTACATAAAATTTTCTCTCTAATATGCATTTTTAATTTTCTAACTTTTTAAAAAAAAAACTAAAAATGGTTACAAAACATATTTTGGTTTTCTATTTTTTAAAAGCAAAAAACAAAAAATGGTTATCAAACGTATATGGTTTTTCTTTTTTAAAAAGAGAAAATCAAAAATAAAAAACTAAAAGCAAGAAAAACCAAAAATCAAAAACAAAAAATAAAAATRGTTACCAAACGGACCCTAAACTTTAAAAGTGTCTAATATGTCCCTAATCTTTAGGGCCTAGTAGACATTTGGATTTATTAGACACAAAATCAAAAGTTCAAAGACCCATTATTCCCAGACACTTTAAACTCGGCCACCTAAGACACAATCCTAAAATCTCAATTACTAAATTGTAATTTGAAAAGAGAAAAAGAAAAAGAAAAAGAGTAATGCCAATGGGACATTGATGGTATTCAAGTCACAGAAAGTGAAGCCGCCATAGAATACCACCCAGGAAACTTGGATTCTGAAAAGCTTAAAAGATAATCAGCTTTAACTTTTATCAGGACTCTCAAAAGTAAAAAAAATATACACTAAAGTTTCAACTCACCAGTGGCTTTCTTCTGCTTTGGACCACTAGAGAGAAAAAGATTATAAATTGCATACCTGGTGGAGTGGAGTCTTCGTCCGTCCCATGAGGTGGGAATCTGAAAAGAGAGGCAAAAAAAATGCAGAATATCAATGAATGGCCATGACACAGTGGTTAGGAATCTAATACCACCTCAATTCAGCACCTTTGGAATGGGATTCCTTCTCTAATTCTCCACTCTTTATTTTCTATTATTCAATGGATTAGAGGAACCAAAACCCTTATTTTACTAAAGGGAATAGCAGCCAACGCCAGCAGGATGGGCAGGCCCCAGCAACCAAATGTTTTCATTCACCCACTTCGAACATTCAACCTGCCTGAACAGGAACTATAAACAACATTTTTATTTTTAAGTTTATATCCGAGCTAGCTTGCACGTACATCACGTACATTATAACAATTTTCTAACCCTACTATGTTTGGTAGTCAAGAAAACTCGTAAGACATGAAATCCTAAATATGTGATTATCATACTCTCGACCCGTTCTCTCTAGTTTCTTTACTCTTTTAATTACTAAAGTGAACCCATAGTGCTGAACTCTAAATAGGATCTCATTATACTTGGAAGTTTGGAACATAATTGGGGGATAACCTAAACCAAAGCGATCCTTTGGGATGTAGGTAAACTAATAAATAGGGAATGATGATATCGGTAACTATATTTACCATGAAGGCATGAACTTTGAACTCTGTCAGTCCTGAACTTGCATATGCTCTCAGAGCTGAAACTCTAGGAATTAGATTTGATTATATCAATTATCAACCCAAATGGAAGGTTAAAAACTTATAATAAAAAATATTTGGTAAGATTTATATTAACTAAATATCTTCTCTTCATTACATGGATTGCACATGAACTCAGTAAATCTCCTTTCCACAAATAGCAGTCATTACAGGGATTGCATAAATCAAGACCAGTAGAAAATCTACATTATTTACCAAGCATTAGTCGGATGTCACATCCATGCAAGTTATAAATGCTACACACTATATTTTGTCAATCTGACCGAATTCCACCCATGAAGGTCCTTGGATCAGGACAGTTGCCCGTAAACTGAGCTTGTGAGAAGTCAAAACCAGGGTTCTGCAGAGAATGATTAGTGCAGATTATATTTCAAGATTTCATAACGTGACACTTGACTGAGAAGACTTTTGAAGCCTTGAAGGAAAAGAAATGTATTCATGTAACTCAAAAATATAAAAACTTTTCAACAGCAGTCCATACAGAGGCAGTCAGGCAGATCAACAACTACGACACTGCCACTTGAGAATACAAAAAACCGGCACCCAATGAAATTTTACCAGGAATCCTACAACTGTTTTTCTTAAAAAGTAAAAACTGTGACCCATCCATAATCCATATTCATGAATTCTCTATCATTGTATGTGTTTAAGTGACACTCTGAGTGGATAACATTTGTAATGACTAAACCAGAATTAGACCAGAAGTCTTATGCAATGGATGAATATAACCCAGTTATTTTTATCCCATCTAACAAAATTTAAAAGCTTAAGAAAAATACAAAATCAAGGAATTCAAATTACAACAAACATAGTTGAAGCAGGGTACCCTTTCAACTTGACAATCGGTTTATTGGAAGTTTTTCCTTCAACTCCATTGGGATCCACGGATGCCTCCAAGGATAGGCTCCAGATGGAGTAGAGCCTTGCAGAGTGCACTCTTGAGCCTAGTGTGGATGCCATATGGAATGATTGGGCTCTCCCCTGACCCCTATCAATTAAAACTTGGGAAAATTTGGTTCATCTATCGACAACCCTATATCAGTTGATATAAGTACAAGTCATCTTAGGTACAACTTGAATGGAGAATTTTTTGTAAAGGAGAGGCCACCAATGTAGGGACATCACTTAAACATAGGGTGGACCTATTTGATTCTGGATTTTACCCCCCACTCGTTGAGTGCACCTAATTGAGTTCGTAAGAGATGTCTCTCTCAGTGATGTACGGGGTAGACTAGGCTCTCTCATATCATTTGCAGTCACTTGAAGCAATTTGACAAAACTGATTCATCTGTTTGGAATCAAAGTTTGAAATTTTACTTTCAAGTCTAGAGAGGAAATTTTGCCCCGGCTTCTCTCGATCATACTGGCTTATAGGTCTCAAGTTTGAACCTTTCAATAAGCTTAATACCAAAAAACCCTTGATGTCTCCTAGGTCTAGACCTTGGGGCGGGCATAAGTGCCTCTGGGTATAGGAAAGCAAAGTGATGACTCCTAGTTTTTTTTTTAAAAAAAAAAACTGTCTAGAGAGGAAATTTGTCCCAAGGAGAGGAGGACAATGCTGGGCGTCACATATGCATGGTGGTGTATCTATTAGGTACACTCAATTAAGTTAGATGCCTCCAAAAGATGAGCCAAATGGAACAGGCATGGAGAACGTTCTGATCCAGGGTGAGTATAGGAAAAAAAATTAGGCTATCTGGTTTGTCTATCATACATGAATAAGCTACCAAACTTTCGCTCAGGCATAAGTGCTCGTGCAATTTACATGAGTTACCACTGGTCAGTTCCCAGGAACTCAGTCCACCAAGTCTGGATAGCAAAACATTAAAAGTAGTTACTTCTATATTGGAACAGTTCAATGTTTATCGCTATAGTTAACTGAGCATATTAGCCTCTCTCTTCCTCTCTCTTCTCTCTTGTTTTTTTCAATCGTTGTTTTTTGCCATAATATCCTCATTTCAGCTATCAACATTTAGCACTTATTACAACATTCCACTTACTATTAACCATCAACCTGAGCAATAAAAAGTTCAAAACCCATGATCCTAGCCCCGTAGGATGACAAATCAAATTTGGTAAGTTGAAAGAATTGGTCTCTGAATAATCATGGTAAATCAACATAAAGATGAAAACCACAAAAGCATATTATATAGACTTCATGTAGTGTACACAAGAATAGCTGACCTCCTCTTGAAACCTCTGGAGCATAAGACGCTTCTGCTCAAGATCGGTAGAGTAAGGATCAAGTTGGCCCTGTCCCTGTATGGGAGAAGCCCATGTCTGACCCTTGTCCCTCTTCTGCAGTGTAATGTGCATTATGCCATCCTCTGCCACAGAAAAATAAAGCTATTACAGCATATAATAAACAACATTGGAGCAGTTTCAAGGGAACAACCTGTGCCATCGAATACTTATATTTATCTCAATCCTCCAGCAAAATTCAGTCCCATTGAACTTGTTTGATCTAAAAGGCATAACATTAAACCGCCTAGACATTCCATTTAGTCATCAAGCAATCGAGAATTTGCACTCACCTAGCGTCCAGAAAGAAGAATCCGTCTTCACAGGGCCAGTAAGGTCGTGCTGCAGATCAATGATCGGAAGCGATCGGTACAATCATAAACTTAAATCAAGCGAGAGAGAGAGAGAGGGAGAGATGAAAATTCAAACGTACTGACATTGAGATAAGGAGGATTCCCCTTGATGCCAACCTCGACATGCCTAGACTGAACCTTGCAGTAGAATTGCTTCGAATGAACATTTGGAGGCAAATTAATATACATGTTAACCTCCTCCAGAGTCTGATCCCATTCAAACACTTCCTGACCTGAAAAACGCCGTGCAAGCGAGAACAAATATCAAAAAGACAGGCACTACAGTGAATTCATTCGCTCCAATTGAAAATTCTCAAGATCAAATTGATGAAGAGAAAGCGTGAACCGTTGTGGAGGAAGCTATGGCGCTTTTCTGGAGCCAATTTCTCTTCCATTTCTTAGGGTTTGCTTCTCCCCTCTCCCGCGGTTTCTCTCTGTATTTCACACCAAGCTTTTCTTCACAAACGACAAGTTCCGGTCTAGTAAAGTTACCCGAAGCTTCTGGTTATTCCTGAACCGGACAAAAATCTTTACATATTTCCCTTGTGACTCCGAAAACTATTTGCTTTAGTACAACACGTGGGGATGGGGTTCGAACCCATGAACTTTTGGTCAGAGTTAGGTGCCTTATCCACTTGAGCTATGCTCGGTTTGGTTCCCCGAAAACTATTTTCATTCAATACTATTGTTTATTAAGGAGAAAATAACTTAACATAAATAAGTTCGGAAAATACTATACGAAAAAATAAATAAATAAAAAATTTCAAAAAACTAAATTGTCCGCTCGTCTAACTAAAGTCGGGGCCACCAATATAATAGAGATTTTTAAACTCATGACCTCTAAATTAAAAAGCAGGTATACTACCACTGTAACAGAGTGGTTCTTTTGTACTATTTTAGCATATGTCATCTCTCATGCTAGAATTAAAAAAAAAATCACATTGCGCCATGCAATTCGGAAATTGTAAAGTGGCACAAGAGACAACCTATAACTTTCCTAGCATTATTCTTAAAAATAGTTTGGGGTTGATATATAATTGTAAAAAATTTAAAATAAAGTATTATTAAAAAAAATCTCTAATTCCATCCGTTTCATCATAAAATAATTTTAGTTTGATCTTTGACACTATTCATGAAGGAGATTGTAAATGAGGGTGATCATTGTAGATAAATTTTGGGCAATCACAAATTATCACTAAATTATGTCATCATAATTGAAATCAATTAGAATTCGAGAAATGTCTCTAAATTAAATTAAATCAAAGACATTAAAATCTTGCTATTTAAATAATGTCATATTCTATCTTATAACCACTTTAGTTGGACCATCTAATTAGGTTGTGTCATAGATTGTGACACGTGTTATTGGAATTAAAACTTGGTCCAAATCCATTAAGTCATTCACCACCAAATTCATCTTTACAGTGAATAAAATTGGAGAAAATCTAAAGGAGGGACAAAATCAACAAGTACAAGTAAATGGTAGATCATCACATAGGGAAAAGACGAATTGCTAGAAAAAACACTATGAAGAAAAGCGTAAAATCAAAATGATCATAAAGTCAGAATCCGATAAATATAAATCAACAATTTAGAGATCGGTCATCCAAGAAGATCAACAAATCTAAGACCAATCATTCAAAAAGATTTATAAGTCGAGAGCCATCGTGACAAAAAGACGAGACAGAATAATACTTTTCTAAAATTTGTTAAGCAAGACTTAACTAGAAAAACCTTAGAGAAAAAACAAGAGGGAAATGAAAAGTCAAAACACAAAGGAAAATTCTAAAAGAAAAAACAATAAATTAAATGCTAAAAGAAACTTCCTTTTAATCACTCACTTTGAATACCCGGAAAAAGCTAGAGGTTAATCCAAAAAGATCAACCGTGAGAGACTAATCATCTAAGAAAGTCAACAAATTTGGTGTCAATCATCTAATAAAATTCATGTGTCGGATTGATCATCACAAGGATAAGATGAATAATTTTTCTACAACATTTGTTAAAGCAAAACTTAAGTAGAAAAATTTGAGAGAAAAAATGATAAATCAAAATTCAACGATAATCAGAATGCTCAAAGTCAAAAGAAATTCATTTTAATCACCCACCTTTAAGACCCATAAAACACCATATCCTTAGATTAACAAATTAGAGGCTAATCATCTAAGAAGATTCACAAGTTAGGAGTCGAGCCTGAACAACGAGGGAGCCAATCATCACATAAGGTCAACAAAACAAGTCGAGAAGCATATCATCATAGAAGATCAATAAGCTAGAAGATATAGATCATCTAGGAAGATTACAAGTCACATAAGGTTAGCTGTTTAGACATCTTGAAAAGTTCAAAGACCAAAAATGAAATAAATCAATAAGGTTAGAACTGGAATTATTACATGGAACTTCAAATATTTATCTATATCGACATTTCTCCTAATCATATAAATAAATAAAAACATAAATATATTATATAAAAAAAAGAAAGCACTGAATTTAGCATTTAGAAATCAAAATGAAATAAATAGATGAAAATAAATTTTAAATTGTGATTTTAAAGCTATAATTATAATTTTTTTTAGGGTGGAAATGTGGTGTACACATGTGTTAGTTGACTATTGTAATTATATATTTAAAAGAAAAAAATTGAAAAATGTGGAAGAGATGCCTTCTTATTTACAGAAGTGTCTTATTTCTTCCCTTTGAATCTCCTTTGCTTGCCTTACTTCTCAAATAATTTGACTTTGATCAATAATAATGGGAAGTTTCAAACTCATTTTATATAGTGTTTCCCATAATTTATGTCTCTCTTTGACCAAATTCATGAGATAAATAATAAAGTTTATATCTAATATTTTAAAACTTTAATTGTTTCTCCATTTAAATTCTATATTTTGATCATCCTTTAGTTTTTAAATTTTAAAAGTTTCTATCATATTCCTAAACTTTGGTTTATGTTTCCACCGTCAACACAGTTAATGAAATACTTATGTAAATAAATATTAGATGTATTTTTTTTCTTTGAGTACAACAAATATGGAGATAATGGAACAAAATGCCTTAATTGTCGAACTAACATCATATTGACAAAAATTTTAGTTGAGTTGATATGGTGCGAAAGACAACTACTTAAAGTTAACCAAATACCTACATTAAAATGTAAATCTAGATCGATTTGGTTATGCTTTTTACATTAACTCTGATTTTTTTTTCCAACTTATTTGAAAATGACACATAACATAGTCCAATCACTCAATTAAGTGGCATATTACTTTTTAATTAGTCAACTAACCGTCAAAGGAATTCAATGACTATTTTGAACCATTTATCAAACTTCAAAAACTAAAGTGTCTCTCTTGGATCCTCATTATTGAACAAATAAGAAATCTAACAAAGGTTTATAATATAATTGTGCTACTTCTCTCATTGTCAATTGATTTCAAAATGAGTCATGATAAAAAATAGGACAATTTTTTTTCTATAAAATTTTGTTCACGAGTTGGGTTGGATTGGGTTAGGAGGAGTTTCGGGACCAACTCGAATTTTCGGGTTGGCCATATATAGGAACCGTTGGGTTTGAATTGAGTGGCCAACTCAACCCAACCTAGTATCTGTTGGTTGGGTTTTGTCGGATTGGATTTTTTTTAATCGTTAATTATCACGACAACGATAATGGGAAGTTAGAATTAAAACTAAAAATAGAAGGCTAAGATTAAGATACAAAATTAGAAGAAGATAATATGAAAACCTTAAATGAAAAGCCAGGATTAAAACTAAATGAAAGATTGACATTGTAAGATATATATATATATATATATAGACAAAGATATGTATAAATTAGGGTTGGGTTGGGTTGACCCGATTTTTTAAAGGTTGAACCCGGGACACAACCCAATCCGATTGGATTGGAAAAATCACAATCCAACCCAACTCGAGGCTTTGTCTAACCCAACCTAACCCTTATGATTTTTCTTGGATTAGTCGAGTTGTCGGATTTTTTGAATACCTTTAATTAGTTGTATTAAAAAAAGCTACTTAATGAATTACTTATTTAATTAAACTTTTGGGACTTTCAGGTGCGGCTGCATCTTGGTAGTTTGTTAAACTTCCATTTCTGGTTTGCACGTCTCTCTTTTCTTTCATTTTTTTTTTCTCATTGTATAAGTTTCTTGTTACTAATTAAATTTTATGAGCATACACGTGTTTGAAAACTTCTAAAATAATTTTGGTTTCTAATACATTTGTTTTTTAAAATATATAGATTAGGTAGGAATTGTATTTTAATAATTTTGATAGGTAGAAAGAAAAAAGAGTTACTATAATAAAGAATATAATAAGAGACATAACAGATCAAAGAGTTGTCGACCTGGATAATCAAAGAAAAATAATAATAAATAACGTATTTAAAGCTTCTACCTACTCCATTATTAGTATTTAGATAGATAATTAATTTTTATTTTATAGATCTCATATTATTTTATTCTTAAAAAAAATTCCTCCTATTATTTTGTTAGTACAACATATTGAGTGGAGTATCGAACTCACGACTTCCAAACATAGACGTATGGTGATGACATGCAATAATCGCATTTACCAATAAAAGTCAACTGGTATTCTGCCTACGCAAGTACCACCATACTCGTATTATCAAGTTCCTGAAGAGAAATTAATTCATGTTTATTATTATTTATTTAGGTCTACATTGGTGAAAGATAATTTTTTTGAGGTCCCGATACTCATTAGGTCTACTATTGAATTGACGGGTATTAACCTTAATTATCAATATCTCATATCAATAATAGATTTTTTTAGTGTCAAAATGGAGATTACCAAATCAAGCACCTATGCTACACGGTTAGATTACTGTTAATGACGAATAGTTAACAATGACTTTGATTGGGCGATATTGCTAAGATAGGCAATAATGAAGTCATTAAGTACAACTTGATTGAATGAAGTAATTATTTTTCTTCTTCTGAGAAGCAATGAAGCAATTAATTGAGGATTTATTATTGTTACTCATTAATGCAGTTCGGGATTTGAAAATCTTAGTATTAATATTTTTCAAACGGAATCTCATGACTATGAATGAAAATTTTCTATACTACTCTGAGAAATTAGTTGAAAATTTTATCATGCAACTTTATTCAACTGGACCATCTAAATAATTTAATGGGCTAAAACATAAATTCTCGATCAAAAGATCTTGATTGAGCTCTAATCTCCACCTTACAAGTTGTTGTCGAGTGAAGTAATTATTTGAGGGTTTATTATTGTTATTAATTAGCGATTTATTATTATTTATAAACGTGATTTATTATTAATAATTCAGTTGGGGAAGTGAAAATGTCTGTATAAAATGGAAAAATGGAGGGCTTTTTCCAGAAGGGCATTTCAAGCTTTTAAAGTTTACACTACTTGATTAAGGTATACTCATTTCTCACCTTAATAGATAGTCATCATCTCTCTAACAATTGACTCTATATATTTGTTGATACTGGATTTGAATCTAAGTTGCAATAAAAGAAGATTTAAGGATTTGTTTGTCATCTTAAAACAAGAAATTCAATTAAAATAGAATTGTATTTCTTATTTTTAAATATGTGTTTGGTAGCATATTTGAAAATTGAATATCGAAAAAAGATTCCTCGATAATAAATAAATAAATAAATATATATATATATATATATATTGATAATTCATTGGTTAGCAACTAAATATTTAGTTTAATCTAAAATATTATTAATTTATTTATTAATATAAATGTTATAAATTTTATTTATTTTACAATATTATATAATTTATAATATATTATATTTTACCTGTCTTAATTTTAAAAAAATGAAATGAGTTTATAACATGAAAGAGTGTATTTATCAAAGTTTTCATTATTTTAAATATAACTCTCAATTTTAAAGTTTTGGAAATAAATAAATAAATAAATAAATTGTTTTCAGAATTTCCATTATTTGAATTACAGAATTCCGAAAAACAATTTTCGAATTCTCTAGCAAACAGGCACTAAAAGATCAATACACTGTGGTCACTACAAGAATTTTGATTTTTTACCGATGAAATAGACTGCTAGCAAAAGTGGGGAAAAAATAATGTTGACATAAAATAATTCGTCTGGAAATTCGTCGCCATAACCATATCGAGAGAAGTAGTTACCGACAAAATGTAAACTCAAATAAGACCTAAAAAAATTAAATTCTTGAAGTAAATAACATTTTAAAAGTTATTATGTCCGAAAATAATTATGATAATAAATCTCCCAAATTTTTACTAATTTGAACATACCTTTGGGATTCAAAGATTTTCAATTCTTACCCCAAATTTATGAAAAATACTTAAATGCTCAGGAATCAAACAATCACCACCATTAAACTTTTGAAATTATGAGAGCGTAAATATTAGAAAGAAACATATTTTTTTCTATCTTTTAACAAATTAAAAATTGTCAAAATTTTATTGGTAATCAATACAAAAATACATATTAATGAGTAATTACCTAAATACTATTCCAAATTTATTCTTCTAACAAAAATAAAAGATAAAACTTATTCATTTTCATGGAGCACTTGTATTTAGAAAATGGTATAAAAAGATGTTCCCCATGAACTAAGCAAAACTTTTCCTTCATTTCCGGATAAACCCTTCCCTTGGAAACTTAAAAAGACAATTCCATCTTTGATCTAGCTTTTGAAGATCTACCCTTTTGTCTTTGCAATAGGTGTCTTCACCCTTTTTTTTCCCTAATTAAATTAGATACACAATTGAAACATAATGATATTAAAATTAAAGAATATAATATATATAATGCTGTAAATTTGTCTCTTAGACGGTGACAATGACATGGGACCTCGTAATATCACCTTCCATGAAGTCTTGTGTTCCCGTCATGTACTAGTCACAAACTTCAATTATAGAAATCTATTAATGTCAAGCCTCGTGCAATCTATTCCAAAAAATATAAAAAATATGCTCAATTTGAACGTTTATAACTTTTTCTATAAATCAAATGTTGGAATATTCACCTAGAGTCTAACAAATTTTATTCTCAAATTCAAATTTGATTTTTTTTTCTTTTCTTAGCACTTTTTAATCTCAGTTTTTGTCTATAAATCTCACCATTAATTTTAACTCATTTACTTCCTAAATGTTCGTAAACAAAATCAATCATAATTATTTTGAAAATAATTCTTTTTTTTTTAAAAAAAGCATTCTTATCATTTAAATATAATTTATTTCAAATAAAGTAAAAGTTAATCGTCCACATTTTTCTTTGACAATCTAAACAATTTTTTTAATTGAATAAGACCTTCAACCGAACAAAGTAATTAAAATACTTCAACCAATTAAACTATACTCAACTCGATAGTAACTTAAGTCGTTTTAGTTATAGATAAAAATTGTAAAGAGAAAATGAAAAAACACAAACCTTTTTGAGTCATATCGATTTAGTCATTATACTTCTAAAATCGTCTAATTAGACCCATAAACTTTCAAAGTTGATCTAATAAGTCATTATTATTTAACTTCATTACTTCAACACTTACACCACGAAACAGTTGTACTTACTCGAAATCAGCCCAATATGTTATTCTTAAATAATACAACATGTAACGGACACAACTAATAGATAAAAACTCAATTTGAAACATTTTTTTAAATCACAGACAATAGCAGTGAGAGTTCATAAATTTGTTTGAAATTCTTACAAATACATCGATTAAGGGTGTGTTTGGAAGTAAGGGTAGAATTAGTAATTTTGAAAAAAAAAGATTTTAATATAATTGATTTTTCAAAAGTGTACCTTTTCTTAAAATCAATTTTTAAGCTTTTTAATTTGTCAGAGGAAAGTGATTTTAAACCCGCTAAAAACACTCTAAATATACAACTCTTTAGAGACCGAACTTGAAATTTAACCAATTATTTTACTACTATTTTTCGTTGAAAAAAAAAAAGAAAAACAATAGTAGAAAATAATTGTCTATTTAAGATAATTCCATTCTGAAGTAACATTATTGAATGCTCCGTCCTCTACTTTGGCTCTATAAATAATCTTCAAACTTAAACAACAAACATATAAAAAAAAAAATTATATATATGTTTAAATCTGATTATGGTGTTGCAGAGAAAAGAAATTAAGCTTGGGTTTCCATCAATGGCGGCTGAAACAATGAGAAGCGGCGGCAATGGCGAACTCGTCGCCGTAATTTTCGGAGTGACAGGGTTGGTCGGAAAAGAGCTGGCGATAGCCCTTCTGGCAACCGCTGGCTGGAAAGTCTACGGCGTGGCGCGGCGGCCAGACAACGTCAGCCCCATCGCCGATCCCAACTTCCACTTCATCTCCTGCGATTTGCTCGACCGTCGGTCAACTTACCGGAATCTCTCGCCGCTCCGCCACGTCACTCACGTCTTCTGGATCACCTGGGCCGCCCAGCTCCGCTTCGACTCCCGCGAGTGCTCCGACCAGAACAAGGCCATGTTGGCCCACGCGCTCGACGCGCTCCTCCCGGCGGCGCCCTCCCTCCGCCACGTGTCTCTCCAGACCGGCGTCAAGCACTACGTTTCCCTCACCGGCGGCGGCGGTGGCGGAGGGGAATCTGCCGTTTTCTGCGAGGACAGTCCGAGATCGGAGTCCGGGAACAATTTCTACTACGCGTTGGAGGATCTCCTCCGTGAGCGGCTGGGCCGGAGGGTGGCGTGGACCGTTCTCCGGCCGGGTCTGATTATCGGGTCATCGAACCGGAGTTTCTTCAATTTCATGGGGAGTTTGAGTGTTTATGGCGCGATTTGTAAGAAATTGAAGCTGCCGTTCGTGTTCGGCGGCACCGCGGAGTGTTGGGCGGAGGTTTATATTGATGGATCCGACGCTCGGCTGGTTGCCCACCAGCACATATGGGCCGCCACCAAACATCTCCCGCTAAATGGTATGTCATCACTCGAAAGTTTAAATTCTTGACCTCTATTAATATGTAGTCTTATTTAAAGAAGAAGAAAATTTTAATACTCCCCCACTATTTATTCTTTTCTTTTTCTACACTAGAAAATTTTTTGGTATGACCATCGATAAAAAGTCTACCGAAAATTAGGTAGTGGCAAAAATGTCTTGTGATATCATCTAATGTGTTCGAGTCCTACGTTGCAGCCACACGACATTGATTCTAGGAGATAAAAAAATTATCGTTAAAAAGCTGATAATTCAATACTTAAAAATAAAAAAAATGAAAACCTATTTCTTTTCTCACTTATTTAAAAAAAGAAATTTAATGTGGTATGCAGGTAATCTTCAATCTACACATAAATACTAATTTTTCATACTTGACTTTACATGCTAGTAAGACTATTTACTGATTTTTATGATGATTTTTATGATGTAGCGTATGTTTATGCATCATACATAAGCGAAATAAAAAAGTTAGTATAGTATATAGACAAGTATTGTTTTAATTTTCTTTATAATAATCTATTAGAATAAACTACACCTAACATTAACCGTAAACGATATTATAAACCATAGTTAAAATCAACTATAATATGTAGCAGAGGCTACACTAAAATAGACCATTGTTTACTATACCACCATATAATTAGAAAATTTTCCACACCATTAAGCTATGTTTAGCTTGAGTACATTTCAAAATTCAAGCATTAGAAAGAGTAAAAATCGTCTCATTTACAATTCGGATATTGAATATAAAACACTTATTAATCTTCTGTCGACATGTACATGAATAGGCACGGGCGAGGGGGAAGCTTTCAACGTGTGCAATGGGTGGAGCTTCAAGTGGAAGGAGATATGGGGCGCGGTGGGGGAGAAGTTCGGGGCGGCGACAGAGGACGTGAGGTTTTCGGCGGAGTTCCGTTACACGGCGGCAATGGCGGACAAAGGGAAGTTGTGGGCGGAGATAGTGGAGGAGGAAGGGCTAGTTCCGACGGAAATGGAGGAGCTGGCCAATTGGGGATTCTTGGACAGCTTGTTTAGGTTGCCGGAAAAAATGGTGGCCAGTCGACAAAAGGCTGACCAATTTGGGTTTACTATAAAACACAACATGTTGGATTCCATGTTCCATTGGATTGATGTCATGAGACATGACAAATTGATTCCTTTCCCTTAATAATTTACTCCCTCTTGTTTTTATAATAACTAATCCATCTTTAAATTTTATATCTTAAAAGTCCATTTTTTTTAAATGCGGAGTAGCTAGTTACTCTCGAGACTTTATCAAATACAAATTGAAAGTTCAAGATTCTACGTTGTATACAAAATTAAAAGTAGACTCGTTAAGATACTTTTTAGTTTAGTAACAATCTATAAGACAACCCTAAAAGTTAGAGACCTGAACTTATAATATAACTTAAAAAATAATTCAAGTAAATTACACTTTGGTTCCTGAGATTTAGACTTTGTGTCTATTTGTCGTCTCTAAAGTTTCAAAAGGAATAGTTTTAGTCTCATGGTTAGGTCAATAAATGGTTAAATGAGCTCAACCATTTAGAACGATTTTCTAAATCTTAGAGATGACTAGATGGTCTTTTTTAAAACTTTGAGAACCAAATAGACACTGACCTATGACTTCAAAGTAAAAAAAATATATTCAAATATTCAGGATCATATTAATTTTAGTTTATGGTAACAAAAAAAAGTGTTCTGTTTTACTTGTAAATTGATTTAAACTACATAAATGTCTTTTCAAAGAATAGATAGTAATCAAGATGTCTTTAATTTTGGTATGTTTTTTAATATTGAATTGATTTGGTCAAATTTAATTATAACTCAACTGATTAAGACTTTGCCAAAAGATCGAAGATTCAAATTTCCACCCTTACGTGTGATTGAACTCATGATGTTTGAACCCATTATACTAAATTATGGATGAGCTGATATCCACATTGAGCTTCCTAGTCGAGCTATGCAGAGCTAGCTATGTAAGGAGACTTGCGCACAATGAACAAACCCTCAGACACTCAAATCAACCAAAAGTCGGAGCTAAGTATATCAGTTCCAGAGAAAATTATATACCTGCATTCTGGAGTGAGTGTGTATTTATAGGAGTTGGAGATAGACCGTTCTATTACAGTCATTGTAGAGTTTGTTACACAGTTGTAACTGATTTTGGTCTGTAGTTCGGTCTGAAAGCTTGGAGCTCCATAGATCGGTGCGCTTGGCACAAATAGGCAATCTTTTAACCATTCATCCATATATATCAGATATGGTGTTGAAGTTATTAAATTGAGTTAGTGTTTATTGATTAAAATAATGATTTAAAGTAAAATACTCTTTTATAAAGTAGTTTAGGAAAACCTTTTGATTAAGTGCTTTAAGTAAAAAAAAAAAATCCTTTAAGTAAAGTATATTTTAAAAAAATATTTGGAATTAATTAAAACAACTTTAATTAAATTCAAAACTCATGTGAAATATATACGATTAAAAAATAAAGAAATTCCATTATTCTATAGCATAAAATTAATATGTATTTTAAAGAAGGCACACCTTTTCATTTTTATTTTTACTTTTTCCAGATACAACCTAAGTTTTAGCATGTTCCACCTTATATAAAATTTCAAACTTTCTATTTTATTTAAGAATACAAAATATGTTATTTATATAAATGTCTTCTAAAATTTCAACAATCGCGGAGTGAGAGATTGAACTATCGGACCTTTAAAATACTAGTGGGGTATTTTATCCAATTGAGTTATGCTTGGATTGAACAATTTCATTATGTATTTTAATTTATTAATTTCAAATATCCCTACCATTAATGATGGTTGACAAGAAATGAAAATAGCACTAATGAGCAGAACAAAACCTCTCCTAAGACGATGTAGTTTTGGGATAGAGCAAGCAGAAACTGGTGGATATGTGACACCTGAGTAGAAAGGAGAGATACAATGATGAACCAGTATCACATTCATACGAGGGGATACTAAAATCATGGAAGCATGGTTAAAAAAGACCTAAAAAAAATTGATAGTCACTATCTATACTAACAATGTGTACCTTCCTTTTTGGTGGCTCAACTATAAAAACTCCACAGTTAAAGGTGTTTGATTTGGAACAATCTTAGATCGAGTGACAGCATGTGAGTGAGTACAAAGACATGAAAATGTCGAGGCAATTAAGGTCAAATCCTGATTTGAATCTTCAACTTGGAGCGACAACACTAATATAGACTACATTATATGAATGTTGTCTATTTTTTTACTTATAATATGTATATTAAAAAAAAGTCACAACCGCTTATATTTTTCATTATATTATTTTAGTGCTTTACATTATATTTGAGTTTGAGTTTGGTTGGAATGGTGCTATATTTATAAAATTTCTAACTTGTATTTGATTATGTAATTTCCTCTAATATTTATATAAATAAATTGAAAAATAAACCTATAAGGTCAAAGCGATCATAGTTCAACAGTAATTGATATATATCTCCAACCTCAGTTCGATCGTCCACCCCACATGTTGTACTCAACAAGAAAAACCTATAAGAATAAAATTCATTTACCTTTTGACAAAAAAAAACCATTTAAACAAGAAAAAGAAAAAGAGATATAGCTTATTGTTTAATATCCAATTAATTATAACTTTTTTGAGTAAATAAAAACAATAAATTGGATAAATATTAATATATTATTGGATAATCCCAATTTATTATAATTCTTTGTTGGGGGAATAGCGGCGGAGATTGTGATGTTCCACATGTACCAGTTGACCCGCCAATAATAATTAATAATAATTAATTAAATTTGTTTACTCATAAATACATATTTTTTTAGTACCATAAATAAATAAATAATTAAATCTTTCTTGTTTCCATTTTTTCACTCATCGTGTCTTGGACAAAATTCATCCCAAAATTTAGCCTATTTTGTATGGTCCAAATTCTCATTCTTATCCAAAACTATGATGTATACTTTAACCAACAGTACTATCAAGGTAGGGTGAGAACTTCGGGAGTTCGTAAATGTAGACGATATTGTTTATGCAAAGGTCTGCACAACGATACTTTACGAACCAAGCTCGAACCCGGTCCCCGGCTCGACCTGAACACAAGAGTGGACCTGCACAAGAGGGTAAACACTCCGACGCTCAAATCAGTATAGGTCGGACTCCGTATTTAGTTCGAGGTGAGATTCGATACCTGAGTGTGAAATAAGGCCCTCTATTTATAGGTGGTGGATCCGACAGTGCTCACGACCGGCGGTTACATATTTTTTCTCATGTCGGACCTGTCGGGTTCCGAGCAGATCGAACCCGAGTCAGGTCGAACTTTCGCGTGCGTACTTAGCCTTTTTCCAATGGGTGACCCCGACCTATTCGGTAGGTTCGAGGTGGACCTGGGATTCTTTAACCCTTGGACACCAGTAAGCGTCTTCCACGTGTCCAAGGTATTTCTACCCCTAAACATTGGCCCCCTCTCTGTCAGGTTCGATCTCGACCTGGCAGAGAAGTTGATACGATCCCACTTTGGACACGTGGTGACTTTTGATTCGTAAAGAGAATATGACCGTTGTGGAAGATGTTTCGATCTGCCAGGCTGTCGGAGCACTCAAGTATCTCGTCGTTACGAATTTCGAGGTGATCCTGGCCACTCGTTCATTACATGTGTACGACGTAGAGGATTTTCTGATTAGTTATAAATAGTTTTGAGACTTCAGGTCAAACCTTACGTTCCCTGAATTTCTGGAGTTCGATCTGAAACCAGCTCGAACCCTTCGTAGGTCAGTCACTTTTCCTTGTTTTTATTCGTACGTTCAAATATGGTGGTTTTCTTATCTTCCCCTTCCAGTAGTGATAGCTTAGGTAGCGCACGTTGGACTATAAGCAGTTCGCCCCTAAACCAAGTGATTCTAGGGAGGACTTAGCTCTTAGGTTAGAGTCCGAGCTGGAAGAGATAGAGAAGTTTAGGTTTTCGGACGATGGGGAGGATAGTGACACTTCCACCTCCGGCCAGGGTTTGGAATACCCTTCGAAAATGCCCGAGCACTATCTCAGACCTCTCTGTAGGGGTTTAAAATTCCAAATGACATCCTCCTTAGAATTCCGGAGGAAGGGGAAAGAGCTGACAATCCTTCAGAGGGATGAGTCACTCTTTACTTGAAAATGTTTGAGTACGGCCTCAGACTTCCTCTTCACCCTTTGCCCAGGAGTTTTTCAACCGAACTGGTCTGGCTCCTGCTCAAGTGGCCCCCAATGGATGGGGTGTCATTTGTGCGTTGGCCATCCTTTTCTGGTTGCGAGCTCGGGACGTGGACGAGGTCAAGCTGCTGAACGTTGAGCAGTTACTTGGATGCTTCGAAGCCAAAAGGATAGCTAAGAAGCCAGGTCGGTACTATATGTGCGCAAGGAAAGGCGTAGGTGGTATAATCAAGGGGCCGACCTCCATCAAAGGATGGGTAGGGAAGTGGTTCTTTGCCTCTGGGGAATGACTGGCAAAGGACGAGTCAGGTCGTACCTTCTTTGACGTTCCCACTAGGTTTGGGAACTTAGGTATGAAGTCATTATTGCTTCTTTTATTATGTAGCTCTAATCCTTTCAATTTTTTGCCTCTCACATCTAACCTGAACCTTCGTTTGTTTTGTGTAGTATCAATCAAACCGATTCCCGAGCTCACTCAAGCCACCTTCGACACCCTCAAGTACTACTAGGATCACTTCCCAAGAGGCCGGAAGATCGGAACCTTTGTGACTGACAAGCTGCTCCTAGAGTCTGGGTTGTTAGACTACAACCCCTTGATGCGTTCGGTTAAAGCTTCGAGACCGAACTCTGAACTTGGTAAGTCGAGCTCGGCCTTCTTTCTACTTATATTTCAATTGTTATTTCTGACATCTTGCTTTAACTGCCTTGCAACAATGGTGTGCGGATTCACCAGCAGTGTAAAGCGCAAGTCTAAGGGCCGTGCTCACGCCCTTAAGACTGTTCAAAGCACTAAGCCTGCGACTTCTGCTGTGGCTCAGCCTGCGGTTCAGGACAAGGCTGGGCCATCCTCTGAAGTTCCAACTCTGTTGATCGAGTTGGGCTCTACTGGGGGACACTCCAGCGAGAAGCGCTCGAGGAACCAATCCGTGGCGCTAGACGTGTCGCCTCTTTGCGAGGTGAGG